TATATATATACATATATATACATATATATATATACATATATATATATATATATATATATATATATACATATCACGAATTCAAATAGTACAAATCTTCTGGAATATATGTAATATATGTAAAACACACTAGTGTTCGTCAGTATTAAATAATGTGAAAATAGGATGAATACGTTTTTTAAAAAAAAGGAACGTGTAAATATCCAACTTTCGATGAGCAATACAGGACTTGTTGACTCTTCTACCTTCCTTTTCGGTGCCATCGCAATCGCAAATTTTACGAGAAAAACCTAATTAAGCCGTTAGCTTTCAAGCAAATGCAACACTGCTCATTATTCTGATGAACATCACTATCACCAAAATTGTGTACAGTTTAATACAATGTGAAAACTGTATTAAGATAATGAACCCTAAGGTTTTTCAAATACTTGGAAACATACTTTTCCCATGACAAAATAATCGATGTTTTCATCTAAGCCATTTGAATAAATCTAGTAAGTTGACGCCGATGACTTCAATTACTTCATCATTTAATTACATTAACAAGATCTCACCCGCATCCCCCACAATTACTTATCCCAGCTCTACTCAATACGATCAGAACAGAACAAATAACTCTCTGTATTATTATTACTATTATTATTACTATTATGATTATTACTACTTTATATATTTTATTACTATATATTATTACTATTTATTATTATTATTACTATATTATTATATATTATTATTATTATTTATATTATTATAGCCCTTACAATCCCGTGGAGGACAAGGGCTTCCGTTTGTCAGGAGGGTTACACAATGGTAGAATTCCCGAGCACACAATTGGGGAACTTGCTTAAACAGACGCTGTTTACCCACAAAAATAAGGAAATGTAAACGCTATTTTTCACACAAAATACGTAATACTTCACTTTGTAACTGGCAAATTTAATACTGTTCACTTTTATTTCAGTACTTAAATCTCGTTAGCTAACACTTCAACTTAGTACTTTCTACATTGGTACTTATTAAGTTGGTAAGAAATTGAATAATCTAGCGTAGTACGTTCATTGTGTTGGATTTAGACATGGTCTTCCACTTCTGACGATCCTTTGCCGAACGCATCTTGGTTGCCAAACAGCATCTTTAGTTCTTCCGACCACCTCTTCTTCTGCCTGCTGACGTTTCTCTTTCCAAATCTAAGATCCCAAGATGTACTTCGGTGAGTCCAGTGGGTATGGGGAAGTCCCATGATGTGCCTTCCCAACGCAATTTCATGTACCGAACAGTGGTTTCAACGTCATTGATCTTTGTTGCCTTTCATATGTCTTCCTTTGTATTCTACGTGCCGGATCAATGTTTACCATCTTTCTTTCCATTTTTTGGAGGCTTCAGGTTGTAAATGTTACGCCGAATACTAAGTGGAATACACGTGTACCCCACACGTATATTATGCAGGAATGGATTCAAATAGGATCTAATTAACTCACTTATGAACAATTCGACCTTTTTGACCAGTTAATATGTAATAAAAGAAAAACATTAATAGAATTATTACTCTTTTATTGGTATGTTTATCTTTTAGTAGTCTACGACTCTTCATCAGAATACCTTTTTTAAGACCATTCCTGTTTTAGGGTATTTATGCATACTTTACTATTGGCGTTATTAAACTCGAGGATAGCTTTTGGTGAGCGCTCTCGCTTTCGACTACGCGCCCCCGGTCGATTCGATTTCTGGTCGAGCCCCGACTACAGTTTGCGATTTCTCAGTATATGTTGCTGTGTGACGATTAGAAAGTTCACTTCTCAGGTTGAGAACACCGGAATTCGGCGTGGGGATATCTACGTGCTAACCACACGTACCCCCTTAACTCATGACCGCGAGGCAGGGACGTCACCAGTAGGCCTGAGCCCGATCTCTGGCTGTCGTGCCAAGTACATACATACATAGGGTGTTATTGTTTTAGTGTCAGAATGTTTATAACACATACATGACGAAAACCCACGTTTTGCGTCTATTTCTCGCGCATAGCGCGCATCTTCCAACTTAAGCTGATAAAGAACATTCAGGAAGTGCAGAGTTCACCGCTTCCTCTTCTAGCAAACATTTCACCGCAGTCCTTATTGTGTTTTCAGTCATTTCTTTATTTTTTCAGTTTCTCTTCAACTTAAGATTCGATAAGTTCTTGCCTCAGCTCCAACACATTTTTTTCTTTTTACAACGCTTCATCTGTTATAAGTTGCCTTCACATTGTTCTTTAAAAAGCAAAAATATATGAAACTAGAAACATTTATTCACTAGTACAGATAGGCCGACGCGTTGATTCAAATGTACATCTAGAAACTTGCAGGCGTTTCAATAGTGCCACTTTCATTTGATTCAAAATATTTTCGTGCCAATCCAAGAAGTATAATGCTCAAAATGATTTTTAGAAATAAAAATTGGTGACGTGGAATACCAAGTGGTATAAAAAGGCGCTCCAGTGCTTGTTTTCAGTTATTACACGTAAAACACCTTAAAACGATTACATTCTTTATAACGTCAGTGGCAATTGAAGTATTTAGAAAAAATGTAACGAAATTTTAATATCTCATTATAAGGTAACGTGTACAAGAAAAAAGTGAGATTGGTATGCGGAGGAATGAGCTCAAGAAGGAGACTGGCGCCTTAGCATTTTCCAAAAAAAAAAAAATACGCAAAGAAAATGAAGGCCGATCGTTCCACAGATGAGCTTGGTTATTTGTAGAAGGTTTATCACGAAAATAGTTTCTTACGGAGCCCTCGCCGCAATCCTGGGTGACCGGACTCTTTTTACTCGAGAGAAAAACATTCATTGGGACGAACATTATGACTACCAAAGGCGGTAAACTCTTTGAATGTGGATCTCTTACACTCGGGAAGAATAAGTTGATACCTTACTCATTAGACCGAGACAGCCCATGGTTTGTTTTATAATCGGGATTATCTTATAAGCGCGTTATCTTGTAGCGGTACTAATTATAAAGTACTATATTACACTAGCGGAACATGGAAGACGTTACTCTGCTCTTCATCTTCTTCTTTCTCCTTCCGTCTTCTTTTCTCTCTCCGTCTCTCTCTACATCTCCCTCTCTTTGTCTTCTTCCCTCCGTCTTCCTCTCCGTCTCTTCCTCTCCGTCTCTTCCTCTCCGTCTCTTCCTCTCCGTCTCTTCCTCTCCGTCTCTTCCTCCCCGTCCCTTCCTCCTCGTCCCTTTCTCTCCGTCTGTCTCTATCCGTCTGTCTCTATCCGTCTGTCTCTATCCGTCTCTCTCTATCCGTCTCTCTTTATCCGTCTCTCTCTCTCTATCCGTCTCTCCCTCTCTATCCGTCTCTCCCTCTCTTTCTCTCCGTCTCTTTATCTCTCCGTCTCTCCATCTCTGTCTCTCCCTCTCCGTTTCTCCCTCTCCGTTTCTCCCTCTCCGTTTCTCCCTCTCCGTTTCTCCCTCTCCGTTTCTCCCTCTCTATCTCTCTCTGTGCCTGTCTTAGTCTTTCTGACTCTGTCTCTATGTGTCTCTGTCTCTGACTCTATCCCTCTCGTTCACATTTAGTTACAGATTCTGCTCGTCTCTGAGCAGGTGTTGTAATATTGAGAAGCGCCGCATAAGCAAAATGTTCAAGAATATCTCATCATGTTGATTACAGCGTAAGACGAGTTTATTTTGGGTCTTTAGCTTCTAATTTTAGTTTTTAATGCCCTAAAACGCTACGTTTAGGAGTATTTAACGATATAGATTCGAAAATGCAGCCGAGTGTTGCGGATTGCATTTGACATTAATATTTATTTTTGTTCTCCAGCGCCATCTAGTGGACTTACAACAAAATTAACAGTACATAAACGTTCTGGGTTAAAAACACGTAGATGTGCTAACTTCAATCATACATACGATTGATCATACGTGTTGGAGTTAACCGCTCGTACATATGCCAACGTATACAACTTTTGAAGAATTGCTATGATCAAAATACGGCAACAATCCTGTATAAATGTAGAATGTTTATATGCAATTAAGTTTGACATTCTCTTTCAAAGTAACCCTCTCCCTTCAAATTCGAAGATCCCCCAGTATAATCTTAAGCATCGAAACGCTTTGCATACGCTCTGTTCCTCCCCTCGTCGTTACTCAACCCATCACCGCTCCTTGCCAGAACGGGGGGGGGCGTTGTTATGAACAGAGTTCGCCGCAGCCTGGGTGGCGCTCCACCTGACTGTTTCCTGGAGATGAGAGGCAATAGCTAGCTTATGAGCCGCATTCGCACTTCTCCTCGTCAACACTCAACGCTCTTCATTCCTCTGGGCTGCGGTTGGGAATCTGCCGACCATCTCCTCCTCCTCCTCCTCCTTCTAGACACACAACTTTACGACTTTGCGACCGATTTCGTTGAGTGGCGGATTTTGGCAGAGCGCACGTGTATGCTAATATGTGACTTTGCATAAGGATGGGATCGTGGTTGCGTACCAATAAAATATTTTGTGTCTTGATCGTGATATGCATGTTGTACGCTGAAAGTGATGAGCATGTTTGTTTAAAGCGGATAAAATGGAGTTTTAATATGAATGGCTTCTTGAGTTTAAAACGGTAATAGTACTCTCCTTAGTTCATGGCAAAATTCATCTATAAAACTGTAAAAATAATAATACACCGATTCGTATTCATCACAATATAGGTTTGACTTATTACAATTTCGTTCTTTCTTTCCTTCTTTCCTTTCAATCTTACCTTCCTCTGCCTTGTCCAATCCTCACCCCTTACACGTTACACACATGGGTATTAGTGACATACCAGGAAATCTATCGCTTAGAGATTGTCCCGGCTGGGAGAGTTAACCGCTGGGGAGGAACGTGGAGAGCGAAACTCCCTCATGCCGACATGTAAGTTGTCGCCGAATTATACCATCCAGCGGCCAGGACCGCCAAGCATGATGATTGTTTGATTAGTGTTTCCGAGCGCATCAACTGTTAATGCCATTATTCCCGTACATGTACTGCATGTTTTATCGCGAACGACTGTAATGATTTCCCCCCTCCCCGTAGGGACAGCGCCCCAGATGGGACAAGCTCGAAGCTCTCGACCGGTGTACCGGCATGAGCGGTAGTATAGTGCATGTGAGTGTAAAGTAAGGGGTAAGGATAGGTCAAGGAAGAGGAAGAAAAGATCGCGTTTGTTAGGCTACTGTCCCGGCATACGCCTGGTGTTAATCGGACAAACCACGCAAAACTGACCTCTAAGCATAAATAAAAACCTCACTATACTAAGGGGACTAATTACCAAAGGAGTTCAATGTGGCAGGAAACACCAATCGATCAATAACCCAATCCCTCTTGCACCTGGTGCTCTCAAGATCTAGCCACGCCCCCCTTTCCGAGCCTCTGTCTCCCCGTTCCCTGCCCCGCCCACCTCGAGATTCGCCCATCCGTCTCTGGCTTCGGCTTAATAAACGTCTGCGGGCGCCGCCCTCCCGCGCCGACCTCATCTGGCTCGATTCCGCTCGCTCCGAAGTTGGCGGCGTCGAGTGGAATATCACGCGGGGGCCGCTCGGAAGCGGTTTATTACCTCGGTGGCTGCGTCTTTATAGAAGGCGTCCCTCCCTCCCTCAGCCTGGCACTTGCGTGCTCACGTTCTGCCGTATCAGTGCACGCTAATAGACCGAGCTTCATTACGACGATGACAGCGAAGATGGGCGGGAACAAACACGCTTAAGCTGGGGTTGCAGTCGGTGGGAATTGTTACTGTGAGGAATACGTAACGAAGTGTTGTTATATGTCAAGGTTTTCTTGGTTTGCAGTATGATAATGATGACTACACTAGAAAGCTGATTCAAATTTTTTTAATGAAAGAAACTAGAGACAGGGAGAATCATAATAAATCAGAAATTTAAAATCTAAAATGGTATTAACCTCTTTAATTCTCCGTTGTCACACGACAATCAAATCTCTTTTGTAGTCAAGGAGAGTCATATTAAGAATATTAATAAAGAAAAACGAATATTAATATAGAAATATTAAGGAACAAGATAAAATTTGTATGAAGTTTTTAACAATACAAAATTTCTTATCTTGTAACTTTTATACATTTTCCTTATATTTTATTTCAAAAACATACATGAGCCTTAGATATGGTACGTATTAGTGCCATGAAACGCTGATCTACTTTAGTGTCAAATAGATGATTCGCGTTAAAGAAAGCTCACTCGTTTGAAAAATTCTTTAAAATGTCTTGATTAATTGTGGCGTTTCCACTATAACTAGAAGTCATAAGACAATTATTAGACACCTCCAGTCGACATTTTTATGCATATTCTTGTATTTTTAAACAAAACAAATGTCGAAGTCGGAATTGGATTATTTTGTCTGTTTCTAATCGGTTCTGTAGTTTTTAAATTATTGATCTTATCGTTTATAATATTAAGAAATCAAAAGTAAGACATCTGTCTAATTGACGTTCTATTTACATAAATCGTTTTAAGATAATTTCAAAACCCATCAAAGGCAGTTCGGGATTATCGAAATACATTTCAAAAATGAAACGACATTACCAATAGACATAATACATATTAAACAACACACAAGAACATGTGAATTTATTGCCCTGATTCCGTTTTAAGAATCCACTTGGAATCGAATTGAGAATCGAATGTCCTACCCTTAAAGGGCGATATCTCTCTTTAATTCCAAATTATGAACAATTGATGTTTCGTAGTGATTTTGTTTCAAAGGTGTGCTACCGACTTCTGTGAATCAATAACAAAGATGTCGAAAACAACTGTGACCTACTGATTTACTTCCTTACATTAATTTTCTTTAGTAGCACTACCGACTTTTCATTTGTGATTAACTCATATTATTCTATTATTATTTTCTTTCGGCCAACTCGGACCACGCGTGCATTATGCTTCTGCAGTTTAATTACCGTTCTTGGGAGTATGCAATAGGCATTTTGGAATCATGATTTTTATCCCCCAAGGTTATTAGCCCTGAGGGTACGGACGATGAGATGAAAATGATGGTGAGGGCTGAAAGGAGGGCACACACATACAGACATACACAAATACACCCAGGCGGGACTCGAACCCGCGGTCTTCTGATCAGACTGCCTAAGCGTTTTCGGTCTTCTACTGCCCTAACGGTCTCGGTCACCGGACCGGCTTTCTATTATTTACTTGTTACTATTTACAAAGATTTATTGAAAATTTACTTGGTTCAAATTGGAAGATGTTGATCTGTTTTTAAATGGCAGTGTAATGTGTTCACCAGTTCGAGTATGCCTCATCACTACGTTCGCATCCTCCGTCTACTCAGCGCTCTCCAGCAACCCGAAGGCTTCAATTGGACGGGTCTTAAAAGCAATTCATCCTGGAGCCGTCACCCTTTGATCCTAGGGCCGACTGCGGCTTGACCACGCCTCCGCCACAGCTTCTCCCCCTATAACCGCCTCTGCCCCGCCTCGCCCCCGCCTC